CAGAAAACTCTATTCAGAGACTTGTTATTGATGCAGGAATAACTATGATTGTTATTATCGTCGTAATGATTGGAATACATGCCCAAATTATGATGAACGATTAAATATTCGCGTTTGCCTTAGCCGAAGGTGTGTACACTGTTTAGAACAAAAGAATTTAGTCTTTATTCCGGCCAAACTGTTTCCTTTACAATACATTGTCAGTAGTCGTTCAGTGGTGAAAACGCTTTTAAATACTAAATAAAACTTATAATAAATCGATAGATATTTCCACCTCAGGCCTTTTCCCTTTTCTCGAAGGGCTAATGGGTAACATTTTACCCATTGGCCGATATTTGTCCATGATGACGTCTTTCAATTGATATTCTCATAATTTATATAAAAATTATGTATATAGTGTGCCAAACAGGATAGTACCGCTTTTGAATAAACATTATTTAATAATCAAATAAGCATTATCAAAATATTGTCCTATAACAGGATAGTGAAACACAGCACACCCGTACACTCTTTACCAAGGGTACTAAAATCAATCTTAAGCCATTACAACAACAAATGATTTATTTAACAAGCACATGTGCATAACATTCATACTTAATTTGTACACATTACATGCACTAGAAATAACGAGAGGGAAGTACTCTAGCCGAAGCGATCTACAACGCGCAGGGCCTGCTGCGGGCTTGTGATTCCATCAGGGTTTGTTAAAGCGTGGAGTGATGATCTCTTTTGTCTTAGGAAAAGACTGCAAGCTTGCTGAAATTATTGCATGAGTAATGTTGTGATTGCTTGCCTCTATGTTGTTGCCTGGATGTATGCCTTGCTGAGTGAGAGCAGCTGACCAGGCAGCCCAAGACCCATCACCAAACATCCAGGAGGGACGAGTCCAGTATCGCACAGCTTGGAGGCCTCAATTCCAATGCAGGTTTTAGGAACCCCCATTGTCATCAATAGTGTGAATTGTTGATAAAGGGACAAGGTCAGCTGCTATGAAGGTTACATCAAGTGTTGAGAAGGAGTTGTGATAAATGCTGAAGTAGGTAGGCTGAGATGGTGGGGTTAGTAGAGCTATGGATGGTTTTGCAATAAGTGACTCAAATAAATTTCGGCCTGTTGCATTAGCTACCTTGCCAGGCTCCCATAGGGAGTTATGAGCATTGAAGTCACCAACAATGACACAAGAGGGTGCCAGTTGATCAAAGTAGTGTGTGAATTCTTGGTGGGTCACAGTTTCATTTGGGTTGGATATATTGAGAACTGACATGGGTTCATTTCCTTGCAGAAAAACAGTTAGCCCTAAAAATTCTAGTTTACCTTGGATAAAGGGATTTATTGCAAGGCCAGTAAAAGGAATATCGCTGCGGACAAGGATAGCAAGGCCACCACCTGCATGGTTGGCATTTCTATGCTTGTAAATGGCTGTATAGTTTATAAAGCAGGGTTCATATGATGAGGCAAGCCAAGTCTCTGCCAGGCAAACAATGTGTGGCTTAGTGGTGTAAAGGTGAAGTTTGAAATTGCTCAGCTTGTTTCGGAGGCTGTGACAGTTCCACTGAAGTACTTTTATTTCTTTTTGGATGGACATTTTGAAGATTGTGTAATACGTGCATTTTTAGTTGTTGGGGTTGACTTAATCTTACCTGCCAATGGGTGGTGATTGTTACCTTCCCTCAAGGCCCGTGGGTCTGTTCCTGGGCTTTTACCATACACAGCTGCAGTCACACAATGCAGAGGAGCTCCAAACACAGCCCTGTCAAAATTTTCGTGCCGATTAAGGTCGTTTTAGAGGAACTATATTCGGCTTAGGGGTGAATCAGGAGCACCCTGTCAAAATTTTCGTGCCGATTAAGGTCGTTTTAGAGGAACTATATTCGGCTTAGGGGTGAATCAGGAGCAAGTCGGCCACGTAGGGTGTTTTGCTTCTATTTACCAGCCTCTTTTGGAAGTCAATTGCCCGGTAGGCCAAATCCTGNGTATCGGTAGTCAGGCTGGTACGGGAGATGTTGCTGCCACGGCTGCCAGTTCAAATCTATATGAAATTATAGGTGCGCCTCCTCGTCACCTGGCAGCAAGTGAAGAAGAAGATGCGCAAAAGAGTGGTAATTTCTTACACAAGATATGAATTGCATATTAGACATAGTCCTCTTAAAGTTACTCGATTATCTTTCACACACAATAAGGATCAAAATATTCCAGCTTTATAATAATTCTACTATCAATGAAAGTAGATATGATAACCGTCATCCATACAAAATCACTGAAAACAAGAAGCAGTTTTGCGCTGGCTTTGGTATTCTATAAAAAAACTATATTTGAGCTAAAACATTTGCTGAATCTGATGAATATCATCAAATATAATAATTAAAATGGTGTTGTGTGTAGTTGTTGCAATAGAGCTACGTAATGTCCAAAATTAATTTATATATTGCAATAAAATAGTAAAAGTGTCAGTCACTGTTCTATTGTAACCAAATTTTAATTATATTTTCGATCCTATGCTGTTGAAACTCCGCTACATAATTAAGTTCTAATTTAGTTAATGGATAAAATCAAATTTCTTATAAAAGTTATAAATCCTTCTAACAGTGAACTTTCTCGTTAAATTTCGTACCCTTTACGGTCCAAATAGTAGGAAATTAGACATTATCTTTAGACTATGGTCGAATATTATGACCTTCATCAGTACAAAACTACTGAACATACTGTAGCTGCGCAGCTCAACAGTCTCTTGTCGACCAGGGTTCCGCTGATTACTAGGGGACTGTGCCGATTGTACTCTCTCTCATTGTTTTAGCTGCCAGCATCGGGAGTGGCCACCCGTTATGCGCCTTGTGAAATCTCGGATGAAGCTGTCTGTGTTTTTCTGAGCGGACGATTATCGGCAGCCGTCAGTGTTTCCAAGCGGATAAATTTCGTCAGCCGTCAGTGTCTCCAAGCGGATAAATTTCGTCTGCCGTCAGTGTTCCAAGCGGATAAATTTCGTCAGCCGTCAGTGTTCCAAGCGGATAATTTTCGTCAGCCGTCAGTGTTCGCCTGACTGAGAAATCTTGTTAATGGTCAGTGGTCACCTGACCCTGGAATTGTGTAAATTGTCCGTGTTACCTAATGTAATATACTGTAAATCGTCCGTGTTTATCTAATGGAAAATACCGTAAGTCGTCTGTGTCACCTAATGTAAAATACTGTAATTCGTCCGTGTTTACCTAATGGGAAATACCGTAAATTGTCTGATTACCTAATGTAAAATCTTGTAGATCGTTTGTGCTTCCTTGGCGGAAGAACGTCGTACGCCGGTTGGGTTACCTAGTGTGGGATATCCTTACCCGTTTGTGTTTACCCGGTTATTATTCTTAGCCGTTAGGGGCATTTTTTAAGCCCTTCGTGTTAACCTAGTGTAGGGCAGTTTCAAGCCGTCTGTTTACTGGGTATTGGGGAATTTCTTGGCCGTCTTGTGTTTACCTAGTTTAGAATATTTTTTAGCCGTCTGGGTTCCTTAGCCGTCTGAATGTGCCTAGCGTAGGGTATTTTACTGTCTGTGTTTGTAAGTTTGAAGGTCGTGGATCAATGTTCTTTTAGCTTCCGTAATAAAGATTTATAACGTAGATTTTAACTTCATTTTTCTGGCCTTCTACTAGAAGTTTTGGCTTTGATTTATTCCACTATCCCGTCGGGATGGCTAGTGTATGTTGATCTCCCGCAACAATAAGAAGCATATTTGCATAGACTTCAGTATTTCATATAAAATTTTTATGTGAGCTTAAACATTTGCTGATTCTGATGGAATATCATCAAAATATAATAATTAAAATGGTGTTGTGAGTATTTGTTTGCAAAAGAGCTACAAAATGTCCGAAATTAATGTATAACATAACATAACATAGTGATCTCGGCGCTGCAGTGTAGGCCTGATGTGGCCTGTCGCCGATTCTTTTCCTTTTCGTGCCTTGTTCACAGAAGATCTAAAATCATTTTAAAAAGTCATTTGACCGGATATTTTCATGACTGACAATAGTTTGAAGTAGCTACTAGACTTCCACCGGGTTCGATATGGTGCTAGGCATTTCAAATCTGAACATATATTATATATATTGCATTAAAATAATAAAAGTGTCGGTCACTGTTCAATAGTAACCAAACTTTATATTAATATTTTCTAACATATGCTGTTGAAATTCCGCTACATAATTAGGTTCTAATTTAGTTAATGGAAATAATCAAGTTCTTTATAAAAAATCAAATGGGCTTTTACTTTCGAGCTCTGTTGATACTATGTAGATTTTTGCCACTGCATCATCAATAAATCTCTTTTTATACATTGAGAGCTCTGGATGAGTTTTCTTTGAAACTTGGAAATGAATTGTGCCTATGTCTAGAAGGTATATTTTTTATTCTCTACCTTATTTACTTGAAACGAGTTGATTAACTGATTATTTACCTATGTCCAGAGCTGGGCAGCGCTACTTGGAAATGTAGCGGCGCTACCGCTACCGCTACATGCTCTAAATATAGCGGGCGCTACCGCTACCGCTACATCCACTTGATTGTAACGGGCGCTACCGCTACCGCTACAGTAAAATGTAGCGCGCTACATTAGCCGCTACAATGGCCAAAATTATCGGAAATCTCTATATATTTATTGTTCTGCTATTGGGATTTACTCATTAACATTTAATGATAATAAAACATTTTCAAAACATATCAATGCAACTTTATTACAATTAACCTATCCAAACTAGTACTGGTTAGTGGTTACTGTGGTTAAACACAGTAAATAGAAGTTAGTTATTCTACTTATTTACTTATTTTTATGTTTTACCTTCCCTACATGGATGTCTACTTTAATCTACGTACCAATCTCAAAAAGTATTCACATATATATACAAATAAAAGACTGATTTTTTATATATAGATTCAAGTACACATCCATGTAGGGAAGGTGAAACAAAAAAATAACTCTAAGCAAAGTGAAACTTGAAAAAATACCTGTAACATTTACACGCAATTCGTAAGCAAATTGATATATAAAAATAAGTAAATAAGTAAAATAACTAACATTTACTCGCAAGCAAACAACTCGGAAAATCGGAAATTTTACGCAAATTCCTTTATCCTTTATTTATCCTTTATTACACGGAAATTCCTTTAACCTTTATTTACACGGAAATTTTATCCTTTCAAAATACCAGCATTTCAAAATGAACAACCAAACTGTTCATTATCATTTATCAAATTAATTAATATCAGTTTTAGCTAAGTTAGGTCAGTTTTATTTGCAATACTCGCTACTTGGTCACTTCTATCCATATATTAAACTTGATATAAGCTGCCAGTTACAGAGGATTCTATTCACATGCTAAACTTACTAAGTTAACGAACACAAACGGCCTGAAACAGGTTACATATTACCAATGAAATAACTCAAATAAGCGTCAGAGCTATAAAATCATTAAAGACACAAGTTCATGTTGAGAACAATAGCTGCCGACATGCTCACGTTGATACCACATCACTGAGATAAATTAATGGGCAATCTTGACTAAAAAGTGAATAATGATGCACAGTCTGTTCATTATAGCACAGATATATCATATATGATCTTTTACCAAGCCAAACTCAGTCGTATACGGTATACCGTATACGTGATAACTGATAACCCGCAATTAAATGAGCAAAAAATTCATCGCCATTTGAACAGTCTCAAGCATTTCAATTTTATTACACGGAAATTCCTTTAACCTTTATTCACACGGAAATTTTATCCTTTAAAAATACTAGCATTTCAAAATGAATATCGGACAAGCTTGAACGCTTCGGTTTTAGGATATCCTTTCCCAAGGAAAACATCCTCTCCACCGCAGCACTAGAAGGGATTGGAGTGTTGTACTCAACAAAAATCTCAAGAAACGGGTTACAAGGAAATGATTCAGGAGCAGGTAAAGCGGTGCTTAGCGGACTTTCCAAGTAATTCTTCACTAGTCGATCTCCTTCATTGACGTGAGTGTGACCTCGTGGTTTCTGGAGTTCATTAAAGAATGAATCAGCATTCTCCTCGTCATCGCTGCTGCTGCTGGTAGCTTGTGTATTCGTGTTAGAAAGCTTCCCATCAACCAGAGAGATCATTTTCTGTCTGACCTCTTTCAGTTTAGATTCGTCTTTACACCAGGTTAATTTGAATTGGGGGTGAAAAGCTGAAGCGATGATGCAATCAAGGTCTTCCAGTTGGTTGGAAAACCTGGTTTGAATGCCCATTAATAAAGCATCCACAAGAGGTGCGCAGTGGCGCAAAGTTTTATCCTTAGTCGCCTTCAACTTCTGGACACATACATTAATAACAGGGACGAGAAGCCCCATGAAGGCTTTTTCTTCGCCTTGAAGGATGTCGAGGCTCACTGCAACAGGCTTCAGAACCAGAATATATTCCTTTAACAAACTCATGTCACCTGAAAGCAAATGTATTTTTCATTTTTGAGTTGCAAACACATTCGCTTTATTTTATATTAATGTACAATTTCAGTACAAACATGAGTTATATAATATAATAATATTATATCATTTACATGTTACATAATACGGTAATACCTATTATAACGAGCATATTTATTAAAAAAACATGAAACATGTTAACATATCATATGTAATATAATATTATAAATAAATATTTATATTAATGCAATAACAAAGTATCTTTTAAAATTTCTTATATAGGTTATAGTGTAACTATAATTGAACATTTTATTAAATAAAGTTCAAATGAGCAATTTACTCACTACCTAGGCTAGGCCTAGCTATCATGTATGATGTATCATGTAAGTCATGTAACCTATGTAATTAATAATTAGTTTATTTTTATATCTTAGTGATCTTACATAATGTAAACAGGGGTATCTTGAGAATGTTGCAAACTCTATTTAGTTCAGTAGTTTTCTTATCGTAGACTGTCACCAGGCATGTAACAGAGTCGTAAACAGAGTTCCACCGTGTTGCAGTGGGGACCACCAGCATCTTGCCCAATTCCATTTTTATAACATCTGCGGCCTGGGTGCTTCTGTGTGTATAAATTTATGATTTAATCATTTAATATATATATATATATAAATTATATTATAATATATATAATGATTAATGAATAACATTTGATATTATATTTACAGTAATACGAATACAACCTATAGCTATAAGTAATGTGGAACTATTTTCAAGAGTAATAGAATGTATATCAGTAATATTTATAATGTTGCAAATAAAAGGAATAAATATAAATGTTTTATATTTGATAAATTATATCACCTGCACTGTTTATTCCAAAGTTCCCGAGCTTTGGCAAATGCACTCCTGTAGATCTTCTTATAGGAACTACTTGATGTCATGGCCTTTTCAGCATCACTGGTGGCTACCAAATTGAGGTTGTGAGCGGCACATCTTTGGTGCTGGGGCAGCACGTACATCTCATTGCCACTCTGCTCTCCAGACTCAGCTGTGAATAAAAAAAAATATGTACGAAATACAATAAGTCAATAACTGAGGTATTATGCTACATTGATATTACTGAAGTGATAATAAATAATTAACATTTACATGCATGATTAATTGACTATATATGTAGATATACATATATTCAGATAAATTGCTAATTTTTACAACACTTCTCTTTAACTTCACTTCTTGTTGTTTGTTTGTCTGCTACAAATCTTATAATCAAAATTTAACACACTTCTACTTATCCTATTGATCTGAAATTTTGCACACTTGCATAAAGTTGGAGACAATGCAAGAATCAAACGACAAAATAAATAATTTTAAAATTTTTTTTTCACTATTGAAAAAATTTATAAAATTATTTTGTCAGCTACTAATCTTATAACTGATATTTGACACATTTTTATCTGTCTGATTATTCTGAAATTTTGCACACTTGTGCGAAGTCGGAGGCAATGCATGAATCAACTGACAGAATAAATAATTTTGAAAAAAAATTTATATACTAAAAAATTGAAAAATTAATGTTTTAAATATTAGAAAATAAAATAAGAAATTTATTGTACAGTACATCTGTAACATTGGAGACACTGGAATCTTTAGAAGGGTTTTCTTTAGAAATTAATTTTTAAATGTATATTTTAACAATTATAAGTACCTTCTAGTATGTCAGCGATGTCTACAATTTCAGTAATGTCCTCATTCTCATCACCTTCATTCGCTTCATTATGAGAGTTATCTATGACTTCATCACCAAAGAGCCTAAAAATGATAAAATAAAAATAGATGATAATATAGCCACTGATATAATTTGAATGTTTAAGTATCTAAAATGGTATAGAATTATAGATATAACTCATATAACTGACATAAGATAGGTAAAAGTTGAATATATGAAAATTATTTGATGATATATAGACATTTTAATATAAATTATGTAATGATCATGCATGTAACATATTCATATATCAATATGACAATGTCAATATGAATGTCGTTAATGCTCAATTATAATACCTGAACGCCTTGACAAAATTGCTTCCATTATCTGTTGTCGTTCTCTTAACCTTATTTTCAATTCGGAATTCCATGTGGACGGTTTCCATCATCTTTGCCAAAATGTTATATGTATGGCGTCCTAGAAGACGCCGACATGCCAGAACTGACCTTTTCCTCTTCATAGTCGTTGGATCAATCCAATGCACAGTCATACCAAGATATGATCTGGGTAGTAAAAGTACATTTATATAATTATATTTCGATTATTCATGTTCAATTATGTTACTGTAAAAAATAAATTGGCATATGTCATAACGTATTGATTAAATTCATTTACATTTTATCATGTTATGTATAAATTTATTAAAAAAATATGAGCATACGGCATACCTGTTTCGGCAAGACCAAACATCTGCTGTCGTGGCAACTGACTGAACATTGGCAAGTAGAGCCTTTAAATCTTCAGTGGCTTGGCGAAACCTTTAAAGGTGTAATACAGCAAATTAAAAAAAAACTATTAACAAGTACTACTATAGTGTAATATAATATTTTATATTTACAAGGACAAAAAATCATCAATGATAATCTTTCTAATTACCTGCCACAACAAATTATAAATCCAGGCCCATATAATTTAACTCAATCAGTCAATCAGTTAGCTACTATGTGTTACGTGTATTTCTATTTCACAAAATAAAATATCTTCATTGTAATTTAGGATTGTGGTTTATTATGTTATTTATACATATGCTGGTACGGTACTGTAATAACTGATATGTGCATATATATAATATTTACGTGTTTATCTAAGCAGCACTCAATTTATACAAAAAAACGTAAAAAACTTTTACATTTTTAAAAAATTAAAAAAAAACGTAAAAAAACGTAAAAAACATAGAAACTTTTTACACACATAATATTTTCTTTAAAAGAAGAACAGCATGGATGATATTAAATAATAATTAATACTACTAACCTTTCTTCAATTTTACGTGTAAGAGAACGTCTACTCATGACGTTAATAGCAGGTTGGAGAGTTTTTATAAGGCTGCCAAACGTTGCAGAATCCACCACCTAAATATAAAACAAATGCAGTAATAAAAATACTGTATATAAGTATAGGTACCTGTAATGTAAAAAAAAGTGATGGTCTTTGTTACCCCAGCTCTTGGGGTTTCTTTGACCGGGTGGTAAAATCAATTTTATTTTTTAGTAAAATAACTCCAAATAACTCCAGGTTATGGTGCCTTGTAGTAGAACTCTTCTAGTTACATATACAAAAGACAGATTTTAGGAAAGTGTCATAGTTTGCAAATGGAGGGCGCCGCCCCCAAATGGGCAAAATGTGACCACCTAATGGCAGCCATGACGGGGTAACATAGACCGGTTTGGAAATTAAGTTAAAATTACCATATATAAGACTCTGTAGAGTCTGAAACATAAAGAAAAAAACATTAATAGGTATATCAAACATAATATATGTTATATAGTATAGGTACCTATGGTAATTTTAACTTAATTTCCAAGCCGGTCAATGTTACCCCGTCACGGCTGCCATTAGGTGGTCAAAGTTACCCCATTGGGGGGTGGCACCCCCCATTTGCAAACTATGACACTTTTCTAAAATTTATTAATTTTTTAACCTATTAGATATGCAAACTTTTTAAATCTTTCTATTGAGTTACATAGCCTCAGTATTAGGCCTTTGACAAAATTTTTCTATGTCGAATCGTTTTTGAGTTTTGGGGGTTTTTGTTAAAAAAACGAAAAGTGGTCAAAGTTACCCCGCCAGTCAAAGTTACCCCGCTGGTCAAAGTAACCCCATTTTACGGTACAGCTATATAACTCGGGCATTGAAATAAAATATTTCAATTTTATATATCAGTTTAATTAGGTATTTAATTTCAAATTTACTTTACTCATATATGTAGACCAGGGTACGCCATATTTATGGCAACGGATGTTTGCTATTAAATAAATTTGTTTGTAGGAGACTTGTCTTTTATAATGAATCTTAATATCATCTATTAATTCATCTACCTATTTTATTTTGCAGAAGTCTAAGGTGTCTAAATTTACTATTACTTATGGCGGTAGTTAGAAATGCTTCAAATGCAATTGTCCCCCTTCGTGAAAAGGGCGTCAAGGCTAGAGTAATTCAGTCATTGCAAAAGAGCTCCAACTTTGTCATGAAACTGTGTGGAAAGTGGTAAAAAAATTCAAGGAAACTGGTGAAACATGAAATCAACCTAGGCCTAGTCAAGGGTCCAAACAAAACAATCGGTCAAAAACACAAGGGAGAAGTTGAGAAGAAATACTAATGTAGTAAAATAATCAAAGTTCTGTCATTAAATTACTTACCTCCAGAGGTAGCATATTATCCACAAAAAAGGTGATTATTTTTTGGTCAACGTTAGATTGACAGACTGCTCGACTGGCGAAAGCCATGGAATGTTCAATCTTCTGCTGTTTTGTACAAGGTTGAGTGTCATTTTCTTTGTCCGTACCACTACGACTTCTCTTGCGCTCTTTTGTAGCAGTTTCAATGAGGTTGTTTAAGTTTTTGGCTAAATTTGGATGCACACGGGTCATGTGAAGTTTCAGATTGTGCATTGATCTTCTATTTGCAGATATAACTTTTATCTTTGGAGCACAAATTAAACATTTATACTCAACATTATTTCCCTTAACACCAGTGAATTTGTAATATTTTTCAAGAAAGGGCCAAGGATTAGATGTATCTGACTCCTGAACAGATGATGTCGATGGCAATGGTGAACGCAAAGTACAAGTACTTGTACTAGCCTTAGTAGGTGAGCCGACTGGCATAGACACAGTCACTGATAGTGATGGCTTCTCCTCCTCTGACAGTTGCAATTCTGCATCATCATTATCCCTGGACGCACAAGGATCGTTCTCGGCCTTAGTAATATTAATATATTTATCCATTTTAAGTGAGTACGAAAATATCAATTATTTGGCATACACTAGACTAGAAACCATTTTCAAATCCTGAAATTCAGTGGTATAGCCTATAGGCCTAAGCTGGCGCCTGGCAGTTAGTTGCTACCCCCTAAGTTCGTAATCCTAACAAACCGGAAAACCTACATGAACGGCGACACAACCACACCCTACAAGCGCTCTCAGCCAACTGAAGCTAGGTGGCTGACGTCCGTGAACTTGTAACAGAGGAACAAGTGGAAACTTGTAACAACGCGTAAAAACTGAATGTAGCGGTAGCGCTGTAGCGGCAAAACCTCGTATCGCTACTCATATATGTAGCGGGCGCTACCGCTACCGATACATTGACTTAAATGTAGAGCCGCTACCGCTACCGCTACTGAAAATGTAGCGGCCGCTAGTAGCGGCCGCTACATGTAGCGCGCTACTGCCCACCTCTGCCTATGTCTATAAACATAAATGTTTTCTCTATACACATATTTTCCTCCATTAGAAAACATACCTGCTATTCTTTTTTATGGGTAACTATACCATCTCATGTCGCCGGTCAAGCATGGCTGCAGGAATAAATCGGATTGTGATTATTTTCCTAATGATTGAAATACATGCCAGAATTATAACGATGAACGATTAAATAATGGCGTTTGCCTCTGCCGGAGGTGAGTACGCCGTTTAAAACAAAAGAATTTAGAATTGGTAGAGGATGGAAACTAAAAGCAATATATAAACTGGGCTTCTGTTTAAAAATATATGATTCCAAAATTTTTAGGTCTGAAACACATGTTGGGGAAGCGAAAATCCTAAAATGACTATTGGACACCGATACGTTGCATTGCTCGGTATGAATACGTACGGCTGAATGAGGGGGATGCGCAAGTATGTTCCCTGTTCTGTAACTCCTGCCCCCATGCTCTGCATGCAAGCCTAGTATAAAAATTGCGCGATGTCATACCGACATGCGCAGATGTGCACTGCGCACAACTTTATTGATAAACTAGGGATGATCGCATAAGAACAGGGAGAGGATCTTTGCTTTGCACATGAAAAACTAGCTAATTTCAAAATTGTTCACCAGTAATACATGTAGATTCACATTCGGGAGGTATTTAGAGAATAGATCTTTCAATTCCTTTGCCATGGTCTCAAATGCGGGGTCAAAGTAAGGAAAAAACAATAAAAACAATTCCTATCGTTTCGCTCGGGAACAATCTCAGCATATTGCTTAGACAAGAATTTCTTAATTTGAGTATATTTCACGTTTTCCCCTTTTTTGTCGTTTTCTAAGAATTTCACGTTTTCTTTGATTTTTTTCCGAAAAATTTACACGAACAAAAAATCTTAGATTTCCGTTTTACATATGTGTACCAAGTTTCAAAGTGATCCGTCCCTGAATGAAAAAAAGTATTTTTGGGACCCAGACGCTCCCCTAAGTTACATTATGCCGCTTTGAAGTGCTCCCCTATGCGTTAAATACCCTTTAAGGGTCAAAAATATTAACAGAACGACGCTAGCCGCAAGTCCGATTTCGCTTTTGATAACCGTCTCCTATACAGAATTACTGAGCATAAGACGATTTTTTTGCGCAAACTTTGGTATTATATATAAAAAATTTCAAGCTAAAACATTTGCTAAATCTGATGGAATATTATCAAAATATATAATAAAAATATTTTTGAGTGTACTTGTTGCAATAAAACTACAAAATCTCCGAAATTAAGGTGAATATTGCGATAAAATAGGGAAAAGCGTCTGTCACTGTTCTATTATTGTAACCAACTTGTAGAGATATTTTTCGTCCCGTGCTGTTGAAATTCCATTACATAATCAAGTTCCAATTTGGTATAATGGATACGAATAGAATTCATGAAAAAATCAAACGGACTTATATTTTTGAGCTTTATTGATACTATGTAGATCTTTTTCGCTGGTTTATCAAAAATCTCTTCTTATACATTGAAAGTTCTAGAAGAGTTTTCTTTGAAACTTCGGAAATGAATTGTGCCTTTTTCTATAAAGTTTATTTTATTTTCTATTCTTTATCTTATCTACTTGAAACGAGTTGCTTAATTAATTATCTAAGTTGCTTAACTATTAATTTAACTACGTCTATAAACAAAATATTTTCTTTCTACACATATTTTTCTCCGTCAGAAAACGTTGCTGCCAGTAATGTTTAAGGGAAACTATATCATCTCATGCCTCCGTTCCGGCACAGCGGCATTGAGTACAAAACTGAGTAAACATATTACAGGATACATTATTCAGAGACTTACAAATGATGCAGGAATAAATATGTTTGTGATTAACTTCATAATGATTGAAATACATGCCCGAATTATAATGATGAACGATTAAATATTCGCGTTTGCCTTTAGCCGGAGGTGTATACACCTCCGGCTTTTATTGGTTATATTTAATTATTTTATATTATATTATATAAATTGTTTATTGGTTACAAAGCAGCCACGAAGTTTCTAGATTGCGTTTCCTCCCCTTTAAAGGTCAAAAATATTAAGCTGTGGACGAAAGTATTTTTCAACCATAATCTAATCTGATAACCGGCATCCATACAGTATCACTGAACGCAAGATGAATGTTTTGCGCAAACTTTCGTATTTTCTGGCGAGATTAAATAGTTAAATCCAAATGAATTATGACTTTAACATTTCGTTGCAAGCATGTAATGTCTTGATATTTTTAAGCGAGCATTAGAAGCTCAATTTCAGTTTCTTACCCTCTTAGGGTCAAAAAATCACTTCTAGAGAAAGCATTTCTTCAAATTAACCTGAAAGATATGTCTATAACCGTTGACTATACAGAATAACTGAACAATTGATGACTGTTTCGCGCAGACTTCGGTATTCGATAAAAAATTTTTATTTTAGCTGAAACCTTGTTGAATCTGATGGAATATCATCAAAATATATACTTAAAGTAGTGCTGTGTGTAGGTGTTCCAGTAGAGCTACGAAATGACTAAAATTAATTTATATTATATTACATTAAAATAGTAAAAGTGTCAGTCACTGCTCTATAGTAACCGAATTTTATAATGACATTTTCGATCCCTTGCTGTTGAAATTCCGATACATAATTAAGTTCAAATTTAGTTAATGGATATAATCAAATTCTCTATAAAAATCAAATGGACTTATATTTCCGAGCTCTGTTGATACTATATAGAATTTTGCCACTGCATCATCAAATCAATAAATCAATTTTTGTGCATTGAAAGTTCTAGATGAATTTTCCTTGGAACTTGGAAATCAATTGTGCATTTTTATATAAAGTATATCTTGTTTCTTAACCTTATTAACTTGAAACGAGTTGATTAACTAATGATTTACCAACCTGGTCGACTAATGATTTAACTACGTCTATGAACAAAAATATTTTCTTCCTACACATATGTTCAGCCGTCAGAAAACGAACCTGATTACTCATTCTTAGGGGAAACTATAGCATCTCATGTCTGCTTACCTGCATAGCGGCATTCCCAGTTAAATTTCGGAGACGCATTCTGCGCCGTTCACGGCACAAGAACAGTTTAGCAGCAGCATTGCAGCAGGAATCTCAGGAAACTGTCCCTTGTTAAAAATCGAGACAGGGAGCAGCCGCATATTGGCAGGAATTTCACAGCGTCATATATATAGGCAACGGCTTTCCGTCCGTGTCCGTTTCGAGGCAGGTTGAGAGCAGGATATCAATAGGGGGTGAATTGGGGGTTTGGTAAGAAGTGGGAGAGCAAATGAGTTTCTATGTTGACAAATGTTGGTTCTATGTTAACTAGTTTACTTAAACGTTTTGCATACTATGTTTATTGAAATCGCAACTATACGTCATAACAATGGTGAAGCACACATTATCTTGCTCACGATTTGTATGTCATATTATTCGGTGGTGACTAAATGTATTAAAAAACTTTCCTGTTGAAGAATAGAAAACCAATAGATGAGTTTTAAAAGAATTGTAACGTAAAGAGAGGTATTCCATATGGAATGATTAGCATAAAATCCCATATTGCATCTAGGTACAGTCAACAATCTTCCTCCTGAAAAACTGTTTGATTTCCTGAAATAAATTAAACAGTTCGTAACAGGCTATAAACTATAAATATTGATAAGAAATATTTATCAAAAATATTTTGACATAAAGTCAGTCAAATTGATTTTTAAATAGTGCTCGGAATAATATTATTCTTCATAAATTGTCTAATTAACAAAAGAATAGCGATTATGGCGCAAGTCGTAATTTGAGAAAGAATTGGGGTAAAAAAATTGAAATCCACCCTAAAATTTCAGAATGCGGGAGTATATTCTAAAGATTTGTTCAGACAATAAGTTAAAAATAATTACCAAGTGTGGAAA